CAGCTGAAGTGGCCTGCAGTGCTGCACTCTAACCACTGCGCCACCTCGGCTCTCAAGTAAATTGTAATTATAAATCAGCAACTTCTGTTCTAGAGATACCTGCTGAATTTGCTAATGGCACAAAATTCAATTGTGACTTTAATTACAGGAGTACCAGAAGAGGTGGTTGCAACAATGGATCATTTGGATTGAAGATACTGAATAAAATTAATCAGGAACTGTGCTGCGTATTATCTTGTTTTGTGAGAGATTCCCTGTAGCCTTTGATCAGCCACCAGGAAAGGACTACTAATCATCATGAAGTTGAAGCAACGTGTGGTCCTTCTGGCAATCCTCCTCGTCATCTTTATCTTCACAAAGGTTTTCCTCATCGACAACTTGGACACATCCGCAGCCAACCGCGAGGACCAGCGCGCCTTCCATCGCATGATGACGAGTCTACGGATCGAATTGGACCCACGACTTGATCACACGCTGCAGTCTCCTTGGGAGATTGCAGCCCAGTGGGTGGTGCCACGTGAAGTGTATCCGGAGGAAACGCCAGAGCTGGGGGCCGTGATGCATGCTATGGCCACCAAGAAGATCGTCAAAGCAGACGTGGGCTATAAGGGCACCCAGTTGAAAGCGCTACTTGTGCTGGAAGGTGGACAGAAAGTGGTCTTCAAGCCTAAGAGGTAAAATGATTCTTCAGTCACAAATAATATCATCTCTAGTCTTTTTTGTTATCTGCTTACTGGCTGACAACAGCTTAATGGCTGGATTTGAGCAAAGCTGTAGCTTGTGCATAAGTCATAAAGTTTGCATTCATTGTGTCATAAAACAAGAATTGCAAATTCACACAATGCAGTAACAAATTATAGCAGGCCTTAGCATGTAAATTTGCATTAGGTTTTTTTCCAAACAGGGGTGCCTGATCTTTGTTCCCTAATAGGCGGAATATGCAATTAAGATCAGTATAATGAATAGATATTTGCTGAAATCCCATACCATTCCTTCTAAGTAAGAAATGGGCCTGTGCCAGAGGTGGGTTCCTACCAGTTTGCACCTATTCGGTAGAACCGGTTCGTCAAATCTACCGAA